GCTGAAAAGCTAGAAGAAGCAAAACATAATGCCAGATACTGTCAGTCCATCAAAGCAGGACCTGATCTATACCAAGTTAGCAGTGGAGAAAGCACTTATGCAGTAAATCTGCAACTGCATACATGTGGGTGTAGCCAATGGGACATGACTGGGGTTCCTTGCAAGCATGGTGTTTCTGCAATTAACAAGGCAAAACTGCATCCAGAAGATTTTGTTAGTGATTTCTTCAAGAAACCAATGTACCAAGCAGTCTACAATCCAATTGTCTATCCTATGCCTGGGCCTGATTTTATGGCCAAAGACTGGGACCCCTGACATAGAGCCACCTGTTTTCAGAGACAAGCCAGGAAAAAAGCAGACAAAGAGGAGAAAGAATCAGTTTGAGAAGACAGCTCCCAAGGATACTTCTAGGATGGCAACAATAACTTGTAGCAATTGTAACTTGACTGGGCATAGGTACACTAGCTGCCACAAAAATCTGAAGCTAGCCCTAGCAATGAGAAGGAACCAACACCAGGTTAAAACTTGCAAAACTACATATTTTGCTTACTTATTTAATATTATGTTCTAATCTGTCTATGTTGTCACTGCAGGAAAACAGAAGAATTGATGCACCAACTCGAACTCCATCAGCTCCATCAGCTCCTGCTGCAACTAGGGCACCACCAAGGGCACCAAGGGCAGCTCCTTCAGCTCCTGCTGCAACAAGGCCAAGTTCATCTTCTACTGCTGCTGATAGGCCTAGTTCATCTTCTGCTACTGCTGCTAGGCCAAGGGCAAAGAAAAACTTCATGCCACCAAGAGTATCAGGTACTGGAAGATTGAGAAAGCCATCATACAAGATGTCTGAGTGGTTCAATTGTTCTCAGGGTGGCAAGAAGTGATGTGATGTTGAAACCAATTTAATTCAGCCTATTTTGGCTAGTTTGATGCATGTCATGTTGAAGCCATACTTTGATGCATGTCATGTTGAAACCATACTTTGATGCATGTCATGTTGAAACCAGTTTGATGCATGTGATGGACTATGTAATGTACCTGATTATGGCTATGATGCACTATGTTACGATGATATGATATTGAACTTAGTTCTTATGATGATATGATGATGAACTTAGTTGTTATTATGTTTTCAAGAAGTTTTCATGATGTTATGATGATACGATGATAGACCCTAAATGATGATACCATGCCTTTTAGGGTGCCTAGGCGTCGAGAAACCCTAAATGATGATACCATGGCTGTTAGGGTGCCTCGGCGTCGACAAACCCTAAATGATAAAACCATGGCTTTTAGGGTGCCTCGGCGTCGACAAACCCTAAATGATAAACCCTTAGCTTTTAGGGTGCCTCGGCGTCGACAAACCCTAAATGATAAAAGCTTAGCTTTTAGGGTGCATCGGCGTTGACAAACCCTAAATTATAAAACATTGG